CTCTGATCAGACACCTGGTTCCGGAACACTTGACTACAACAGTCTCCGGCTTGCTGGTTTAATTGCCTCCACTCTTGCCCCCAAAGCAATTCATTTTCCACATAGCCCAGTGATCTTTTTGAGATGTAAATCAGATAGTCACTTCTCTGCTGAAAAGTGAGTCCATACTCATTGCTCTGGGAATAAAATATGGACTCCTTGGTAGCTCAGTGCCTAAGGCATTTGACTGGTAACCAAAAAGTTGGAGGCTCAAACCCACCAGCGACTGCCTCCAAGGAAAATGGGGCAATCTACTTTTGAAGTATTTACTGCCTCAGAAATCCAACGGGGAGTCACTATGAGTCGGAATCAGTTGGCAGTGGGTTTAATTTTTGGGGGTATACCAGGTCTCAGGTGATCTTGGCCAGGCCTCCCTCACCAACTGCATCTTAATCCACTGCTTCCCTTTGTCATAAAACTCCAGGCACACAGGAGTTCTTTCTTTTAATTCCTCAAGCATTCCAAGCTTTTTGTGCTTCAGAGTGTTTATACGTGTTAGCTACATCTGACTAGAATACTTTTTCCCCTATTGAGCTCATTTTCATCTTCCAGATCTTCATACCAATATCGCCTTTTCTTATGTGGAAGAAACTGGCTAGGTGCTCACCAAAATTTCCTCTCTGGACAGGGTTAAGCTATACATATTCTAGCTCCCTTGTAGCTAGACAGGGCTGGGTGAGTAGTTCTCACCAATGGAAAGTGTGGAGAGCAGTTAACATGGATGAGCTTTCTCCATGTACTCCCACTCACATCCCTGCCTACCAGGGTGACCTGGAAGCACATGTTTGATGTTTTGATGGTGATAGCATAGAAGTTTAGAGTCACTATTTGGAGGAGAGCTGCCTGACCAACAACATCCACATTGGACTTTGAACAAGAAACAAACCTTTGTATTAAGCTAGTGAGTTTTGGGGGTATTTGTTACAACAGTTGGCATTGTATACCCTGACTAATGTGTCTTCTCTGGGCATCCTATCACCCTTACACTTGATCACAAAACCTCTGTTTCTTTTAGGGTGTTTCAAACATTTAATTATCTTGCCAGATGCCAGTCAATACTTCCCACCTATCCAGTGAATTTAAGTCTTAATTGTGTGTGTGTGTGGAGGACGGGAGACTAAAATTAGGAAGTTGTGATACTCATTTTATCAGTCGCATTTTGACTGTGATTTAAAAAAATCTCATTAAATCATTTGAGGAGAATTGGTATATTTGTAATACTGAATCTCCTAATTCCATGGTCTATATGCTCCATTTCTTTAATTACTCTCAATAATGTTTCATAGATTATGTGTTAAGGTCTTACACATTTTATATTTATTCAAATATTTACTCTTTAAAAATGTATTACAAATAGGATTTTTCTACTAGCTGTATATTGAAATATTTATCTATTTACCATGAAGGAGCAACTTTGCTAACCTCACTTACGAATCCTAATAATTTATCTGTAGATTCTTTTTAATTTTTTTTACACACTTATCTTCTCTGAAAAATCAGTTTTATTCCTTCCTTTTCAATATTGTCTCATTTATTTTTCTTTCCTTACCCCACTGGCCTGGAGATAGATTACTATGTTCAAGAGAAGTGGTGTGGGGTAGACAACCTTGTCTCATTCTAAAACTCAAAGGAAAATCTTTCATAACTTTATTAGTATAGTATTTTCAGTAAGGTTTTTGGAATCACCCTTAGATTAATGATGTGCTTTTCTGTTTGCTATTATTTAACTTTTTATTGTGATTTGGTTGCAATTTTATAAAGCAGATTCGTTTTACCATTCATAAACATTTTGATGACATTGATTACAGTTCCCACAAGGTAACAGTTCTCCCACCTCCCTGTGGTTACCTCTTCCCCGTGTCCTTCTTACCTATACATTCCTGCCTCCCTAGCTTTCTCCCTGTGCAGATGCTGCCCTTCTAATCTCCATGGTTGACTGTTCTAAGGAGTACTTCTCCCTGGTGTAGTTACTCAGTTTGTATGCCTGTCTGTTGTTCGGCTGAGAGTTGAGGCATGGGAGTGAGTCCAATTCCAGGCTGTTTGCTATTATTTTTACCATGCATTAGATTTTAAATTTTGTCAAATGCTTCTGAATCAGAAAGATCATATATTTTTTTGTCCTTTATTTTGTCATTGTAGCAAATAACCATCATTTTCATATATGAAATTAACCTTGAATTCTTAGAATAAAATCAACTTAGTTGATTATTATCCTTTTTGTGTCTATGTTAATGAGTGAACATAAGTGATATTATGCTATAAAGCTTACTTTTATCACTCAACACAGTGCTTCCATTCATGTTGCTATATGTGTCTATAGCTCACTGTTTCCTCTTCTTAAAATGCTCTAATGACTTCCCATCTCACTAATAATAAAGTGCAAAGTCTCTGCAGTAGCCTCCAGGTCTTTGTATTATCTGGATTCCAGTTCTGTGTCTGACCTTATCTCTTTAACACTTGCCTCCTTCACTCACATGTGCCCAACTATTCTGTGTCTTTTTATTGACTACTAGAAGCCTGCTTATTGTACTCACTCTTCCACCTGCCTGGAATGCTATTCCCCTAGATATCTACATGACTAACTTCCTCACTTCATTCAGGTCTCTGTTCAAATGTCAGCTCTCCAAAGAACGTATCACCTTTTTTTAATTGCATATTTGTTTATATGATTACACTAGAATGTAAATTCCAAGAGAGCAGGGACTTGTTCTTAAAACTGTGTCCTTAGAATCTAGTACATACCTGACACATATTAGGAATTCAACAGATAATTGAATGAATTGCATATGACATCTGCTGAGTATTCCGTAGTGTATAGTTGTGTATAGTGTATAGTTAGAACATTTACCATACCCATTCCCCCAACTAAGGACATCTAGATTATCTCCAAATTCTTTTTTTTTTTTTTTTTCTGTGTCCATCCCTCCATGGACTCCTGCCCCCTGAGCTGTCTCCCTGTGCATAAACAGCTCTTCTTTCTCCCATGATTGTCCTCTCCAAGGAGTGTATCTACCTCAGGTAAATGTTCAACTCATATGCCTGTCTTTTGTTTGGCTGGAAACCACAGATGTGGGTTCAATTCCAGACCTGAAGGGCAGGTAGGGGCCATAGTCTCAGTGGTTCCACCAGGCTCTATCAGACCAGCAAACCTGGTCTCCCATTTTTTTTTCCCCCAAATGATTTTGAGTTTTGTTCCACATTGTTCTCCCTCTCTATTCAGGATCTCCTACATAGATTCCCCTTCTGAGTGGTTGACAGTGGTAGCCAGGCACCATCTAGTTATTCTGGTCTCATAGTCGTATAGGCTACGGATTGCATGGTGTACCAGTCACTAGTACTTATTGTTTCTATGAATCTTTGGTTTTCTTCATTCTTCTTTGCTCTGGATGAGGAGAGACCCATTGTTACATCTAGATGGCTGCTTGCAAGCTTTTAAGATCCCAGTCACTACCCGCCAAAGTAGGATGTGGAACAATGTTTTGTATAGTATGTTATGCCAATTGAGCTTGATGTCACCTGTGACTATGGTCCCAATATCTCCAAATTCTTGCTACCGCAAAAAACTCTGGGAAGAATTTTCTTAGCAATGTTCTTTTACAGATGTAAATGTGAGTTTTGGTTCCTGATTCCAAGTGAATTTATCACAGTCATCCCATAATTAACTACAAAATCTGAACAAAATATAAACCAATAAACTATTTGTAGGCACTGGAAAGTGACCAAAAGCAGGTGAAAATCAGAAAATTTACCACTGAAAGACCAACTTCTTTTGAAGCTTTTGTGCTTTTGTGATCTTGTGAAGCTGTTTCCCAACTCCACACCACGACCAGCTCCAAAAGTAGAAAATCATAGCCTTAGGGCTCAGAGTAGCAGAGGATGGAGTCAAGGGCTGGTAGAACAGCGGGAAATTTAGGAGGGGAAATCCAGGAAATGAGAGTGGCCCTTGTAGATAAAATACACTTCAAAGAGAAATTCGCTTTATAGGTTATTTCTCAGGAACCAAGGACAAAGACCAAATTATTTGGGTAAACTAAATTCATTACCCACACCCTCTGAACTATATTAACTGCTCCTTTCTAGCTACTCTGTAACATTACATCACCCTGTTTTATTTTCTTTATAATCAAAACTGAAAAAAACAAAAACAACTCATTGCCGTTGAGTCGATTCCGACTCATAGCAACCCCGCCTTGGGTTTCTGAGGCAGTATCTCTACGGAAGTAGATTGCCCAGTCTTCCTTCTGAGGAGCGTCTGGTGGGTTTGAATCACCAGCCTCCTGGTTAGCAGTCAAATGCCTTAGGCACTAACAGAAAGGTGGAAGCTCTGGTGGCATAGTGCCTAAAATAAAATTATTCATATGTTGCTCTTTTACTTTCTCCTTACATTAAAACAACCTCACCGGAGCCTGGAGAAACACCTGGTTCAGAGGGGTGTTCAGTAAAGAATTGTTGAATCAGCATAGGACCTTGTATCATGTGTGTGGCTCACTCAGAAAATAGGAAAAGGATGACTCGTGGGACAGGATAGGGGTATTCCCAATAAATAATAATGGGTTTGAACCGCCAACCGTCTGGTTAGCAGTCAAGTGCCTTAGGCACTACGCTTCCGGAACTCCTATTAGAAACCTTTAAAAACATTTTGAGTTCTAATGCTCTCCCTACAAAAGACCACAATAGAGAGCTGGACAAGGATTCTGGGTGTTGGTCGTTGTCATGTCTGCTGCTTGTGGGATGCATCATGAACACCATGACCCTCTCTCTTATGTGTGCTCACTCTCCCGTCTTCCTAGTTGCTGACAGACACCTTCTACCTTCTCTCCCTTGTGCACACCCTCCTTTTGCCTCAGATGTGTCCACATGGCTCTCCCCTCAGTGCCTCACCTTCTAGGTATGCACACACCTTACTCTCCTTGCAGATCTCTCAGAAGCCTTTTATAGAATCATTTATTTTGGTTGAGGGCTCAGGTAAGGGGTGGGCTGCATGCATAAACCCTCCGCTGGGTACAGATGGCAGGGCTGAGCTTCGTGGGCAGGGGCAGGTGCATCAGGATGTTCCTGCTGTGCAGCCGAGTGATGCCGAGGGGTCCTTCCATGTACACGGGGCAGGAGTACACAGCCAGGCCACCTGTAGGGGGCAGCTCATTGGTGCGCCAGGCCTGTGCACTGACGCTGACCGGAGGCAGAGGGCTGGGCTGGCTGGAAGGACTATCCTGCAAGGCCCCAGCTATGGGGTCCCACTCGGCGTTCAGGAGCTGTAGCCCAATCAGCAGCAGCCCCATCTCCGGCACGGTGGGACTTGGGCCATTCTCCACCTGGAAGCACCAGAGGTTGATTAAGCAAGGCTAGGAAGCTGGAGATCTTGGTGGAATGGGAAGGGAAAACAGGGTGGCATCACAGAGGAGTAAGACCACGAAAAGGCTCAATGGGATAACTAAGGTGGAGTCAAGGGCTTTGAGGAGCGGGATCGGAAATGAGGGGGCAGCGCAAATACCCTGAGATGCAGAGGGTTGCTGTTCAGCTCCAGACGTTTATGGAGGCAGTGACTGAAGTTGTAACCTTGGCTGCCAGGGAAACAAGGGCTGGTTGAATGCAGGGCAGCCTCCCAACGCAATGCCAGTAGCAGGCGGCGCGGGTGGCCGAAGGCTGACAGGTGGAAGACGCGCTCTGGTACTTCAGTGCCCGCGCTAACACCCAGGTAGCGGGTCAACAGTTGGCCACGGCGCGAAAGCTGTCGCAGCCAGTGCCAGGGCGGTTGCGGGCCTGCCGGCGCATGGAGTCGCCAAGGTGGGGGTAGGCGGCCAGTCCAGAGAGCGTGGGCCACCGCAGTACAGCGCGGAGAGGCACAGGGAGGCTTGCCCTTCAGCTGCTGCGACAGGCAGTCAAGGTCACTTTGCAGTGTGCCCACTAGCTCGCTCAGCTCCAGAGCCTCTGTCTCTAGGAAGCCCTGCAGGGGCCGCGGCGCATCGGGCCCCAGCACTGCCCCCAGGGTGCCAGGCTCGCCTTGGTGAATGCTTCCAGTCAGGAGAGCCTGCAGTGACTCCAGTCTCCGTGCGACCTGCACTAGGCGTTGCCGCAGCCGTCGTTCTGCGCGCTGGGCACCTCTGCGAACCTCAGGAACCCAAGTGGGTGAACTCCGCTGCAGAGCACTCAAGAGAGCACGACTTTGGCGTCGCAACAGCCAGGCTTGGGGACCCGCACTTAGTCCACAGATCCGGGGTTCAGGTGGTGTAGGCAGTAGGTGCATCTGGGCCTTACACTCTGCCATAGCATCCAGCTCTTCTAACTCTTGGGGGTAAAGGTGAGGGGTGAGAGACAGGTGAACTCCCCCAACACCAGAGGGAGGGAGTTGGCCTTTTAGCCCATCACTTTCATAAGTGTGTCAATATTGCCATCTCATATACTTTTACTGGTACTATTGTCCACATATCTTTGAGCTGGCATTACACTGCTTGCCCTCTCCTCACCCACCCCAACACAGATAAAGGATCCTGGCTTACCTGGGCTAGGCATCAGAGTGGCCAGTAGATGCTGAGGTGTTTGTGGGTAAGCCCAGCTCCCACCGCTGGGGCTCAGGCAGGCTTCAGTGAGGCTAATCAGAGTCTCCCTGTCCTTAATGTCTCCCACAGGACCCCCATAGAAAACTGAAGCTGAGGATGAGGTTAGAGCCCCTCAGTTCAAGTCCATCCCCTCCAGTTTTCCCCACCCCCAAACCAAAGTTGTGAATTTTGTTCCAATCTCTCAGCACCCACACCCCCACCTCCTTCCAGATTGGGAGCAGATGTCTGACTACATGGGGGATGGCAAGAGTCTCACCAGCCAGCTCCTGCATGGCAACACTGGGATTGCTGAGGCTGGCCCACAGCTGGCCCTGGATCTGAAGGGCCTGAATCAGGGTGCCTTGACTCCTGGGAAGGGAGCAGGATTGGTTTCCAATTCCATCCACGTGCTGAGGACTCACATCTTTACCTGAGCTCCCCAGGCATGAGGGCTCACTTCCAATACAACTTACTTTCAAACTGATAAAATTTCCCCAACAAAATCTGTTCCATCTTCTATCCCACTGACTGGTACTACCAGCCACCCAGCTGTCCAAGGCAGAAATCTGGAAGCCATCCTTGACTTCTCCCTCTTCCTCATTGACCTCCCTTATCCCATATTTACTCAACATTCTTTCTGTGACCCGTTGTTAGTTGGCAAGTTGATTCTGACTCCTGGTGACCCCATATGCACAGAGCAGAACTGTTCCACAGGGTTTTCAGTGCTGTGACCTTTCACCAGGCCTGCCTTCTGAGACACTTGTGGGTTCAAACTGCCAACTTTTAGGCTAGTAGTGAGTGCTTAAGGAGCTCTGGTAGCATAGTGCCAAAGGCACTTGACTGCTAACCAGAAGGCTGGTAGTTCAAACCCACCAGCCACTCCTCAGAAGGAAAGTTGGGCAATCTACTTCTGTAATGATACAACCTCTGAAACCCAAGGAAGAGTTGCTGTGAGTCGGCTCCAACTTGATGGCACATAACAACAAACAACTCATCCCCCAGCATGTCCACTTTGGCCACACTGAAGTCTTCTCCCTCCTGCTAAGCTTAGTTCTCTGTACTCAGAAAGCCCCAGACCCATCAGATGTGCTTCTGCTTCTAAGACTCAATTCAAAGCAAGATCCCAAAGTCCTGGGAGAAGCTTTCCTTGACTTCCCCCTTGCCCTTACACTTTGGAGCACCCCAGAGATGGATTTGTCTTACTCATCCCAGCATGTGGAGGATAGTCAGTGTTTGCTGAGTGACAGATTAACTGACTAGGTTGACTAATTGACCTACTCACCAACACCCCCTGTGTGCCTGCACCCTCAGTCCATAGAGCTGCCGGTGAAGCAGGAGGCCATGGAGGAGGAGCAGAGGCAGGGCCTGGGTTGTGGGTGGCATGCAGCACTCCTGCTGGGCTAGCTCCATGCTGTTGATCAAGACGTGGCCCAGCTCCAGGGATTGGTCCCAGAAAACAGGCATGGAATGCTGAGCCAGCACAACTGGGCAGAAAGGAGAGTGCTGAGTCAGAACAACACGGGTCTTCAATATGATAGCCTGTAGTGGGAGGCTTCTTACCTGGCATAGAAGCAATACCCTCTGCAGACAGAATAAGCCAAACACGGAAATCCCTGTGGACAATGGTCACATTCCTGCTTGCAGGCTGAGCTAACAGCAGTTCCATCTCCGAGTCTGAGACCACTAGAGGTCAAAATGCAGGGCAGAAATCAGAACTGGGGTGAGGGATCAGACACAGTTCTGAGGATCAGGCTTGAGGCTGAGGGGTCAGGAGTCAGACATAAAGCCAAGAGAACAGGCTTGGAGCTAGGGGATTGGCCATGGGGCCTAAGAGTTCAAGCTCGGGCTAAGTGGTAGGGTAGAGTCCCAGAAGCCACATCTAGGCAGCAGACCCACCCTTAGCTCCATTAAAAAGACCAAGCAAGGGCTGTAGTAGCTCTTTCGGCCAGTGGGGCATCAGATGACAGTTATCCAGCACCAGCCAGTGCCCCTTGTGCATAGCCTGGCATAGAGTGCTAACCACAGCTGGGACTGGGTCCCAGGCTTCACAGCCCAGGGCTATCACCTGCAGATGTTTCTGCCCCTGGAGACAAAAAGACAAATGGTAGAGTGACTGAAAATGATGTAGAGTAACCCAAGGGACCAAGAGTAATGCCACAATGATCCCCAAAGACCCTGAGTAGCCAAAAACCACCCATGAGAATTCTGGGAAGGAGAATCCCCACACCCCATCTCAGCCCATAGGAGTACCAGCTTTGACTCTGTGGTCAAGAGGTTAGACTCAAACCTGCTCGTGCTTGGCAGCTAGTCTCTGGATGACATTCAGAGGATGCAGGGTAGCTGTGGGGTGGCCAGGAGGTGGCAACAAGATCAACATAGGTTGAGTAGCCTGACTGTGCTCCAAGGGCATGGTGGGGGCACCAACTGTTTCATCCAGGGGCCGGCCCAGGAGGCTGGTGGTGAAGTCCGCCAGGGCACCTACCAGGCACTTGGGTTGTAGCACACGCCACAGAATCAGCTTCTGGAGGAGGCTGAGGGGATCAGGCCCAGGCCCAGGTGCAGGACCCAGCACTGTGGATGACAGTGACAAGTAAGCCTGCCAAATTTTGGAGTGGCTTGCCAGGGATGCACGCAGGCCAGCAAATGGGGGCAGCAGCTCTAACATCCCACATTCTTGCCAGGCTCTCAGCCCTAGCCAGGCTGGTCGAGCCACACCTGGGCTAGGCTGGCTGTGGCTTGTGCTGGGAGAAGCTGCCAGTCCAGGCCAGAGTGCCAGCCTCTCCAGTTCTGGTGCCTTTCTTGCTGCTTGCAGCAGAGCCAAAGCACCCAAGGCACCCACCAAGGGCACTTGGGTCAAGCCCAGTGCAGCCACAGTGCTGTCTAGCAGCTGGCGGGTCAGCTGTGTTCTCATCTGCAGCAGATGGCTGGTCATGTCCTCACCTGGCTGAGTCTCACACTTCTTTATGTCGTTCAAAGCCTGCTTAGTGGCTGCCAAGCAGGTCTCTTGGCTCAGACGGAAAAGTGGCAGCAAGTTCTGCAGTGGAGCTAGGGCCTGTACCATGGTCACTGCATGCCGGACCACCTGCCGGTAGGGTGCCCACAACACCATGTCCTGCAGCCTCAGCTCTTCTAGCTCCTCATTCTCGGCACGTAGCTGACATATCTGAGCCTGGGCCCTCACTATGTCACACAGGAACTTGGCTGGTCTCTGAGGCTGTAAGTTCTGGCACAGCAGCATCTCCAGCAGCTTCTCCTGCAAAGTCACTCATGGCATGGTTCTGGCCCTTTCCCACAAAGTCCCCATATGTCTACATTCATCTCCACCCCATACTTGGGCCCCTCCAGTGCTCATCCCAACCCACAGACTACGTTCCCAAGCACCTCAGCAGCCTCCACAGCTTTGCAAACATCCCAGATTCTGTTCTTCAGTTCCTGCCAGTGGGTGTCAAGCTCAGGACGCTCTATGCACAGGACTTCATGCAGCATCTGTTCTTCTAGTAAGTCTATGTTCAGGTCCAGATCCAGCACGTTCAGCCCCTTCAGCAAGTCACACCCTAGCACTAGGGGTTACATGGGAGATGCTTAACCACTGCCTCTTGGCAGACCCCGAGGAGGGGGAGATGGATGGTGAGGGGCACAGGGATTCTGTTCCATACTACAGTCCTGAGCTTGCACTAGGCCAGGATTAGTGAAACACTCTTAAGGCTGTTCCTGGGGTCTAGGGCCACAAAGCTGTTCTGGCAACCTGCTTGCTGGGCCTCACCTTTTCCCAGGGTGCTCAAGGGGAGAGTGGTGCTCAGATAGAGACAGAAACCAGGCTGCACCTGGGGTGGGCTCAGCTGCGCCCGCTGTAGCAGCCATTGGAGTTCTTGGCATTCTAGGCCTAGCTCCACATTGGTCAGAAGCACGGAGACGCCTGTGAGGGAGAGAGACAAGGACAATCTACTCACTATGCCAGTCCCCAGCTTCCTCCCCACCCCCCCATACATAACATCTGACTGTGACTGGTTCCCCATTGGCTGATAGGAGAGTTCCCTTAGCACTCTTCAACATTGTGTCTGGGATAAAGGATGGAAGCTGAGGTAAGATTGGGGTGTGAGAGGCCTGTGAGGTCACAGAATGGGGGAAGGACAAAGAGGGGCATGGTAAGTGGGTATCACTTCTCACCACTGGCGGCTGCCTGCTGGAGCTGAGGACCCAGCTCTGGGTCAGCACCTGAGAGCACTCTAAGGTGGGAAGGAGGCGGAGACTGAGTGGCAGAGGCTGGCTTATTCTCCCTCTCATTCTCTGTCTCCTCTTTCTCTTTTTCCTCTTGTTCTTTCACCTCCTTTTTCTTCTTCTCTTCTTCTTTCCTCTCATTTTCCTTTTCCTCTTCCTTCTGGTCTTCACTGCTCTCCTCACTTTTATCATCTTCCACTCCTGTGCCCTCCTCTTTATATAGTCTCTCTTGATTGCTCCTAAGGCTATTCTCTATGGCAGAAAGATGCAGAGGAGCTGTTCTTAGGGGACAAATTAGGCTCCTAGAGAGCACTGTTCACCCAAGAACTCAATCTCATGAGGAAAGACTCAGATGAAGACACCTTAGGAAAGTTGCTTAAGCTCTCTATAACTCAATTACCTTGCCTATAAAATGGAGTTGATATTAGTGACTACCTCATGGGGTTGCTGTGAATATTAATACATATAAAGCACAAGACACATAGTAAGCATTCAATATATGTTAGCTATCAGTATTATTTGTTATGCAGCAATAGAAAACAAGGAGCTCTGGTGGCATAGTCCCTAAGACATTTGCTGCTAACCAGAAGGCTGGCAGTTCAAACCCACCAGCCACTCCTCGGAAGGAAGACTGGGCAATATATTTCAGTAGAGATACCACCTTGGAAACCCAAGGAGGAGTCTCTATGAGTTGGAATCAACTTGATGACAGTGAGTACCCTAATGAAGGGAGGGGTTCTAGTCATTCCTAAAATCAGCTCCATTTCTCTTTCTATAGGTTGGCTGGAAGAGTTGAATACATTTTTCTCTCTCATTTTTTTGGCTTAAGATAATTTCATCACTTTTTGTTGTTGTTATGTACCATAGAGTCAGAACTGACTCATAGCAACCCCTCCTTGGGTTTCTGAGACTGTATCACTACAGAAGTAGATTGTCCAACCTTCCTTCCGAGGAGTGGCTGGTGGGTTTGAACCACCAGCCTTCTGGTTAGCAGTCAAGTGCCTTAGGCACTATGCCACCAGAGCTCCCAATTCCATCACTAGCAACTAATAAAGAAATCAGTGCTAGAAAGTAGTGACTTATAAGTGAAAGACCAAAAACTGTCAAGTCAAGGATGGTGTGACAGACACAGATGATTGATTAGCAACAGCCATTTCCAAGCCCCTTCTCCATTGCCTCCTATACTTCAGAAGTAGGAAAAGATCAATTCTTGTCTTTCCTAGATTCTCTTGCAGGTGGCCATTGCTAGGTCCTCAGTTTTGGTGTATTTGTTTTCTATTAAACGCAAATGCAACGCAACCACTGCTGTGGAGTCAGATCCTGACTCATAGCACCCCCTCCTTGGGTTTCTGAGGTGGTATCACTACGGAAGTAGATTGCCCAGCCTTCTTTCCAAGGAGTGGCTGGTGGGTGTGAACCGCCAGCCTTCTGGTTAGCAGTCAAATGCACTATGCCACCAGAGCTCCTTGTTTTCTATTGCTGCATAACAAATTGCCCCAAACTTAGTGATACCCAGCATGGCTGAATTCTATGTTCAGGATTTCAATGTGGTAAAATCAAGGTATCAGCTGGGGCTTCAGTTCTCATCTGGAGCTCAGGGTCCTCTTTCAGGCTTACTGGTTGTTGGCAGAATTAATTTTCTTCTCACATTTTTCCTGTAGAGCCTTCCGAAACATTTGATGGTTCATTGAACACTTCTTATGCTTTGAATCTGACTACCTTTTCCCCCCCTACTCTCTGCTTTTAAGGGCTCATGTGATTACATTGAGCCCACCTAGATAATCCAGGATAATAGCACCAGATTCAGATCAACTGATTCATAAACTTAATTGCATCTGCAAAGTCTCTTTTGCCATGTAATGTAACAATCATGGGAGTAACACTGCAGGACAAAGGTATGGAGGCCAAAATTCTACCTACCATATTTGGCTCTTCAGACTTCTGGGAATTCATTTGTTTTCCTGACAAAAAGGCCAGAAATGGCAGGCACCAACTCTGATACGATGCTTGAAGATACAGCAGACATCTTGCAACCATGTTATGCGTATTAGTTTCCCAGGCTGCCATAACAAGTTACCATAAATTTAGTGGCTTTATACAACAGAAACTTATTCTCTCACAGTTCTGGAAGCTAGAAGTTCAAAATCAAGGTGTCAGAAGAACTCCACTCCCTCCAAAACTCTAGGGGAGAATCCTTCCTTCCTTCTTCCAGCTTCTGGTGGTTCTAAGCATTCCTTGGTTTATGACTGCATAACTCCTGTTTCTGCCACTGTCTTCACATTGCTTTCTCCTCTGTGTATCTGTGTCTTCTCTTCTGTCTCTTATAAGGACATTCATCATTGGATTGATGGCCCACCCAGAAAATCCAGGGTGATCTCTGTTATGGACTGAATTGTGTCCCCCTAAAATGTAAATCTTACTATACATCTAGTTGTAATCCCATGTGTGAATACAGTTCTCTTGGTTATGTTAATGATGCAGTATTAGTGTATAATGTGTTTTAAATTAATCACTTTTGAGATAATTGCTTTTGCAGATTAAGCAAGCAGAGATGGGGAAAGATACATGCCACACCACGTGAAGATTGACAAGGAACCATGGAATAAGGACCTTCCTCAAGAGCTGTCAGAGACATAAAGCTTTCCCCTAGAGCTGGAGCCTTGAATTCAGACTTCTAGCCTCTTAAACTCTGAGAAAATAAGTTTCTGTTTGCGAAAACCACCCACCTGTGGTATATACGTTATGGCAGGGCTAGATAACTAAGACAATCTCATTTCAAGGTCCTTAACTTAATTATATATTATATATATATATATATAATATTAGGAGCTCTGGTGGCATAGTGGGTTCTGTTCCATACTACAGTCCTGAGCTTGCACTAGGCCAGGATTAGTGAAGCACTCTTAAGGCTGGTCCTGGGGTCTAGGGCCACAAAGCTGTTCTGGCAACCTGCTTGCTGGGCCTCACCTTTTCCCAAGGTGCTCAGGGGGAGAGTGGTGCTCAGACAGAGACAGAAACCAGGCTGCACCTGGGGTGGGCTCAGCTGTGCCTGCTGCAGGTCAGCGGTTCAAACCCACCAGCTACTCCAGACAGGGCAATTTACTTTCATAAAGATTTACAGCCTCAGAAACACAATGGGGGTTGTTATCAGTTGGGAATGACTTGATGGCAGTGAGTTTTTTGTGATATATAATATAATTATATATTTTGCCAAACAAGGTCACATTCACAGGTTGTGGGGCATAGGATATAAACATATCTTTCTCAAGTACACTGTTCAACCTACTATAAAGAGATAAACCAACATGCTAAGGATTGTAGAGCGGAAAGATATAAAGAACGTGGGTGCTTAAAGGTAACACTGAAAGCCCTGCACTACTCCTGGACTGTTACCAAAGTATTCCCCATATGTGAGATAAATAAAACCCAATTTGTTTAAGTTGTGGTAAATTGGGTTTTTGTTACTTACAGCTTAGAGCATACTTAAGTGATACAATAAGTTATGAGGGAAATGGAGATTTTTATGCTTTCTGCTGAGAAGCTGGCTAGGTTATATGGTGTGTAAGAAGTTGGCTTATCTCCTAGGACTTGGACCACATTCCCAATGAGTATTAGTGGACTTAGTAGAGATATTAGACCATGCATACTTCTTGCAGTATTAGATAAGAAACAATTTTTAGAAAAAGCTTTTTAAGAGAACTCCTTTCTGCTCATATGAAGCAATTCCAGACTACAGATGATCATGTACTTTGCTGATTTGTGAAAACCAAATTCTGTACCTCGTGATGCATGAAATAGAAATTATGTGATATCGGAAGAGCCTGGGAATCAGGGAAGTGTCACCGACCAGCTTCTTCCAAAGTACTTCTCTATGAGTATCCCGTGCTTAACAAAGATAATATTCCTCCTTCCCCAATTGAGTTGGGTGCAGCCAAGTAATAAGGCAACATTCCATGGCAGATTCACCTCACTGGACTGTTACTACAGCTGTGAGGTGACGGCAGAGGTTTAGACAGATGACATTAAGCCAAGCCTTGGTGGACTCAGTAGAACTCCCAGAAACATTCCTAAGAGACATAAGTCATGAAGGTATGGTTCAAATTCAAAGATGAGAGTGTACCAAGACTTCTGGCATTGGTTAGTAACTAATATGGTCCTTACAAATGAAATCTGTAGGAAAAAATGTGGGAGATTTAAAGAAATTAGTTGGAAAATCCCTGAAGTGTGGTTAAAAGGGATCTGTTTGCTTAATTTTAAGGCAAATCTCTAGCCCCATACCCATTCCAATAGGAGATAAACATTTAGGGCAAAATAGCTCCAAAAAGACTATTGGTCACTGACTATTCATCAGAACCCATGACATCTGAACTGGCTGTCTAGGAACTCACTCCAACTATGACGCTAACCATTGCCTTACTATCTGTTATTGGCATTATATGATACATGCTGTAGCATAATATACAGTGTGTGTTTCTTATCCTTTCCCAGTTTCTAAATAGGAAGTTTATTGTAGCTGTCCTGATTTTGCTTTATTTTGAATATTAGGTGGGTTGGCATGGTTGGATTTAGCATGTGTAATCTATCATAGGTTGTAGGAACATGAAGAGACACATCTATACCTGATCAAGATCACTGAACATCATTCAGAGTTCTCGGACTCAAAATGAGATGCAGCTGCTAGATGTTTCTTCAGTGTGTCAGCATGTCTCTTATGAGAGAGAGGCTAATTCATATATAATTATATATCTGATAACTGTATGATGTGCAGTTCTGTAATGGTGTATGGAGATAATTGAAAGTTGTGCTGGACAGTGAAGTGGGGCAGGGCAGGGGGGACTGGAATAATGGTCTCAAAACCAAACTCACTGCCATCAAATTGATTCCAACTCATAGTGACTCCTCTTTGGGTTTTTGAGGCGGTATCTCTATGGAAATAGATTGCCCAGCTTTCCTTCCCAGGAGTGGCTGGTGGGTTTGAACTTCCAGCCTTCTGGTTAGCAGTCAAATGCTTTAGGCACTATGCTACCAGAGCTCTTGGAATAATGGTAGCAGTAATATATTAGTAGTAATTATGGCTTTTTTGAGAACTTACATATTAGGCATTGTATGACCCTTTTTTACATGATTTACCTTAATACAACACTTTATGAAATGGGTATAATTAAGGCCCCCATTTTATTGGCAAATACACTTAGGCTTAGAAAAGGTTAAGTACCTTGCCTAAAGTCACACAGCTAACATGAGATATTTGAACCTGGATTATCTGTTTATAGAGCCCATATTATAGACCTCTTACTATACACTTCATATTGTGGATGTTAATCATCCTGACCAACACAGTCCCCAATTTTTCTGGGAAATATACATCCTGTTTCTTTTTCCTAAGAACCTCTGGTGGCATAGTGGGTAAGGCACTTGGTTGCTAACCAGAAGGTTGGCATTTCAAACCCACCAGCTGCTCCGTGGAAGGAAAATGAGGCAATCTACTTCCATAAAGATTTACAGCCTTGGAAACCCATTGGGGGTCTCTGTGAGTTGAAATTGACTCAATGGCAATGGATTTTTTTTTTTTTTTTTTTGGTCTTCTTTTTCCTAGGAAATGCTCCTTCTAATACTCCAACTAGATGGATCCCTGATCCAAGTAGTGCCAATAGAAATAAGACCGAACCACTGCCATCAAGTCAATTCCAACTCATAGGGACCCTATAGGAGCTCTGGTAACGTAGTGCCTAAGGCATTTAACTGCTAACCAGATGGCTGATGGTTCAAATCCACCAGCCACTCCTCAGAAGGAAGATAGGGCGATCTACTTCCATAGTGATACCACCTTGGAACTCCAAGGAGGGGTCACCATGAGTTGGATCCTACTCGATGCCAAATAATAGACATATATATAGTGACCCTACTGAGCAGAGTAGAACTGCTCCATACAGTTTCTAAGGTTATAAATCTCTACAGAAACAAACAGTGGCTGGTGGGTTTGAATCACTAACTTTTTGGTTAGCAGCCAAATGGTTTAACCACTGTGCTACTAGTTCCCTCAGAATTTCTGAACATGGAATAAATTTGGGTAGCAAGTTCTGAATTGTTGGCCAGGTTCCCAGTAGGTATGAGTAGACCAGGGAAATGGAAGATCATGGACTGGTCAGCCATGTAGACTTAGAGTCATTGTAATACAGGCAAAAAATGTAAATGTGACCAAACTTATTAATAGAGTATAAGATGATGAAATTTGGGATATCCTGGCCACAAAAAGGTAGTGTCTTCAGTTCATTAGGGCAGGGAAGATCCCATGTGGCAAGAGTGTTGGACAGTTCAGATACTCAAGAAGCACTATGCTTACCTCTGCCTTTAGTGGGAGCAGAGGCCAAGGAACTATTTTCTTCCAGAGGCTGTTGGTTCAACCAGATGAGGGCCTGGTTGCTGGGGTCAAGCACCAGAGGCCAACGGCAACTATAATAGTGGGTTTGACTTCGCAGAAGTACCCCAGCCAGGCGGGCAGACTTTGCCTGGGGCTTCAGATCGCTATCCCATTGGCGCTGTTCATCATCAGAGCTCAGCAAAGACAGAAGACTGAATGGAAAGCGTGTGGGCAGTAGGGGGTTCTTTGGCATGGTGACAGATTTCTGCTTCTGCTTTAGTGCCTGTGCCATATCATCTGGACCCAGGGTCTCTTGAAATCCCCTACACAGTGCCAGCCACTTGTCCAATAGTTCCTGGCGCCTTGGTGGTGGAAAGGGACCCAGGTAGACAATGGCAGCTGAACATAGGAGGGCATCTCCAAATACAGTCATGCAGTGCCCTTTCAGCTTCTAGGGTGGAAGGAAAGATGAGAAGGTGCACAGACAAAGTGAGGAGAGTAACAGCAGAAGGTCTGGCACTTGGGGAGCAGATTGGGGTATGGAATAAAGCATGACAAGGAGGACAGAGTGGGACAGAGGGATGCATTGAGGGCCGAGAGAGGAACAGAGGAATGAGGGGTGGTGCAGAAATGAACTATGGGGGGAAATATGGGGGGATGGTCACCTTGAGTTCTGTAGTCCAGGAGTGCATAGGGGTGAGCAGTGCAGCCTTTATGGGCAGCTTGTAATATTTTCCATACTGTGCCAGGACAAGAGTCTCTATCACATGGGTGTGGGAAACTTGGGCATGCTTCATCTTCTTAGTCAGGTTCACACTGTGCTGCAGGGTCTCATGGGCCTGGAACTGGTAGCGGCCCAGGCAGGCCTGCTCCCGAGCTAATGCCGCCTCCACTTGCCGCAACAGCAGACCTGTGGGTAGTCCCCGACGCTGTGCCACGCCATAGCGCAGAACGGCCCAAAGCCAGACTGTCAGTCTTGCTGCAGGTATGCTTACTGCTCTCAGGGCCTCTTCACTCATGCCTGGAGCCTTCAGTGCTATGTTTAACTGTATCAGCTCTGAGTCTGTCATCTTCTCCTTGGGGAAGAACACCAGCTCCTGGGACAATGTGTGTTAAGGGGATGAGAGAAGACATGGAAGCTCTGAACCCTGACCCAACAGCCTAGCCCTGCCAAATCTCCCCACCCCCTCCTCTTTCCTCATTGCTCCACTGTGCCCCACCTTCCCTACCTGATAAAAATCCTCAGTGCATAACAGCTGCTTGGCACTAGCCCAGCCTGGTTCACGATGAAACAGGTCACACAGTGCATTGGTCACCTGGACCACAGATTCCGGTGGTGCTCGATAGCTCCGTAGCTCCTCTAAGTCAGCTGCCTGCAGCTGGCTCAGAGGCCCCAGAAATGCTTTGCCCATCTAAAATAGGAGAGATGCACTCTGAAGTGAGCTTCCCTACAGGGGGTTGCCAGGCAGGCTCATCTCTTCCCAGGGGTCCTCGTGAAGAACCACACTTTAAGTCATCCTATTATTTTTGCGCTCTCCTCCCAAGCAGACTCTATGATGGGTCACCCCATCCTCTCCTCTGGACATCCTATGAGGGATTGTCCTTTCCCAAGAGAGGAACAGTGCAGGGCAGGTGGCAGCAAAGAACCCACCTGTTCCAGGAAAGCCTCATGCTGAGCCTGCAGGGCATCTCGCTGCTTGACCAGGCTCTCAATGACTTTCTCCTGCTGCTGACATTCTGCTAGCTGCTGCTTGTACAGGAGCTTGTCTTGTTCCATCTGAATATGAAGTGCACTGAGGCTCTGTGAACAGAGATTTAGGTCCTGAAGCACCATATGCTGGGCAAAATGGAAATACCCAAGGGGAACACTCTCTGGACTTGGGAATCTAGCACACTCTTTGCTTGACAGTCAGGGTAAACATAGTTGGACTCCAAATAGGTCACAATACAGTCTGAGCCCTGGGACTATCAGAACCTAGTTTGTGAGTTATACATCTAGTAATACAACCATGTTAGTGGTTGCTTTCTGTGCAGCTGCTCTGTTATCATATAGGCCCAGACAATCTGAATCCAAAGTCTACGGACTTAACTATTATGCTACACTCCTTATCTTATTTGACGCATTAAAAGCATTTATCACAGAAGACAGTTCCTTCACTCTTGAAGCATTCTCCTCCCTTGACTTCATCATACTGTATTCTCCTTGGGGTTTCTCCAACATGTCTGGCTGCTCTATCTCTTCCTCTTCCATCCCTTAAATATTCTTCAGCAATTTTTTCAGGGTCTCCTTATCTTATCACTCAGCACTTCTACACACCCTCCCTAATTTTATGCCTTTGATTACCACTTACATTCTAACAATTCTGAAATCTCTATCTCTAGCTAGATCTTTCCCAAGCCACACTTATGTATTCACCTACTTAATGGAAATCTCTTGGATGGCTCACAGGCCCCTGAAACTCCACATGCCCATAAATGAACATACTGGCAATGCCTCCTCAGCTCCCCTGCAATATTACTCCTCTACTCAGGTGTTCTTTTTTCTCAGAGAACTGTGGCAAATACACCAGATTCCCAAGGAGGAAACTTGGTTGTTACCCTGAACCCATCTCCTCTATTCCCCAAACCCAATCTATCTTCAAGGCCTTTCCATTCTATCTCATAAATATCTTCTGTATTTAGCCCCATCCCCATCATCCACCATGCTCTCTCACAATGCTCCCTTGCCTTCTGCATGGACTTATAAGTGGTCTCTCAGCTTTCATTCTTACTCTCCCTCTAATTCATTCTCTATGTTATTGTTGTTGTTATGTGCCATCGAGTCGGCCCCGACTCATAGCGACCCCTCCTTGGGTTTCCGAGGCAGTATCACTACAGAAGTAGGATTGCCCAACCTTCCTTCCGAGGAGTGGCTGGTGGGTTTGAACCGCCAGCCTTCTGGTTAGCAGTTAAGTGCTTTAGCCACTATGCTACCAGAGCTCCTTCATTCTCTATAGTACAGCCTAATTGTTTTTCTAAAAACCAAATCGCATCATGTCCTTAACATTTATCATACTCACCTCCCCTTCATTTGCTTTACAGTGCCTCTATGACTAGGCCCCTAACTCATTTTATCTTTTCAGTCTCATCTCTTTCCTCTCACCCATCACTCTAATCTCCAGCCACCTTGACTTTCACTTCCTCCAACATGGCACACATTCCCTTGCCTCTGGGACTTGGCACATGCTCTTTCTTTAGCTAGAGACACTCTTCCTCCCTTTCTCCTGCCTGGCTAAATAATCTAGAGACCAGAATATGTTTGCACTGAACATTAATGACCCAAGACCAGATAAGTTGTGGGATGACATCATGGATATCATATATGAAGAAAGAAAAAGGTCATTAAAAAGACAAGAAAAAAGAAAAGACAAAAATGGATGTCAGAAGAGACTCTGATACTTGCTCTTGAATATAGAGTCACTCTATTTCCATAGTGATACCACCTTGGAAACCTAAGGAGGGGTCTCTATGAGTCAGATCTTAGTCAACAGCAATGTGTTTGGTTTTTTATTTAAAGTGAATAGAAGACCAGAAATAGATCCATCCACTTATAGACAGTCTTTGACAAAGGCCTGAAACCAATTCACTAGGGAAGAAATAATCTCTTCAAAAATGGTGCTGGCAAAACTGGATAACCATTTGTAGAAAAATTAAACAAGACCCATACCTCACACCATACACAAAAACTAACTTAAGATGGATCAAAGACCTACACATAAAACCCAAAACTATACAGTTCATCAAAGGAAAAGTAGGAGCAAAATTAGGTGCCTTAATTTATGGTATAAATAGACTATCAAGCATAAACAGCAGAAAAGAAACTAGATGACTGGGGCCTTCTAAAAATTAAATTCTTATGTGCATCAAAAGACTTATCCAAAAGAGAACCTACAGATTTGGAAAAAAATATCTGGCAACAACACATCCAACAAGGAATTATCTCTAAAATTTATAGAAAACGTCAACATCTCAACATCAAAAAGACAATCCATTTTAAAAATGGTGAAAATATATGAACAGACACTTCACTAAAGAAGATATTCAGGTAGCCAACAAACATGAAGAAATGTTGGCAGTCAGTAGCCATTAGAGAGCTGAAGATCAAAACAATAATGAGATCTCATATTATTCCGGCAATAATAGCAAAGTTCAACAGGACAGAAAACATCAAATGGTGGCTAGGGTGCAGAGAGATTGGAACTCTCGTACATTACTGGTGGGATGGTAAAATGATACAACCACTACAGGAAATAGTATAGCAATTCCTGAAATAGTTGGAAATAGAAATATTATTTGATCCAGCCATCCCACTACAAGGAATATATCCTAAAGGGGTGAGATCTGGGACATGAGTAGATATATGCACACCCATGTTCGTCGCAGAACTATTTACAATAGCAAAGAGATGGAAACAACTAAGTACTCATCAACAGACAAATGGATAACCAAACTATATATATATATATGTGTGTACATACACACAATGGAATACGATACAACATTGAAGAACCAGTGAATCACCCCATAATGTGGATGAACTTGGAAGACATTCTGTTGAGTGAAATGAGTCAAACACAGAAGGGCAAATATTGTATGAATCCATTATTGTAAAAAATCAAGGTAAGGTTTATACATGGAAGGAAATTTTCTTTGTTGGTTTCCAGGGATGGGAAGTGAGAGGAAAGGAGAGAAAATAAATGGATAATTAAGAGATAGGTTTGATATGAGTTTTCTCTTCCTCAGTCAACTGATCATAAGGAACTCAGCATGGGGCCATAGGTGCAGACTGGGAGAGGGAAGGTAATGTGACTGGAGTAGAGACGATAATCATTTGGGCCACTTCCTCATGCAACTTACTTGTGCCTTCGGGTCCTGTCCAAGCCCAATCTCTACCACTTCCATTTAATGATGGAGTGCTGTTGTGCATGTCCAACTTTATGACTCTCTGAGTCAGACAACACCCAGTTCATGATGGTTATCTCAGGCCTCATGGTGACTTGGTGGCCCATGGTTAGGGATTCATTCTCTACTAAAGCCCAGTTACAAGCCAAAAACTGTATCTCAAAAGGAGAGTAGTTATCTGCAGAGGATGGCAGGGCTTTGCTCCAAAACCCCAAGGTTCTGCATTGTGATTCACCAGTAGGGACCTGCCAAAGACTCCAAACAGCATCTCTATCTACTACAGACACTTCGAGCACCATTGGATCAGCTGGGTCATATGGCCCAAGTGGCAGAACAGCTTGCATGGCAGCCTGAACCTGTTGCACAGCCTTCTGTTGTTCTGGGCCCCATTCAAAACTAACAGGTTTCCAAGTCACTTGATAAATAGACTGAAGCAACACACCCAAATAAGGGATATGTTGCCTCCAAAATCCAAAGAGGCCCACCAGACATTGTGCCTCCTTTTTAGTTGTGGGCGAAGCCAGATACAATAACTTATCCTTCACTTTAGTAGGAATATCTCAACATGCTTCACACCGCTGGACCCCTAGAAATTTCACTGCAGTGGAAGGTGCCTGAATTTTTGATGGGTTAATTTCCCAATCTCTAGCACATAGATGTCTCACCAATACTCTAAAGTCACCGATACTTCTTCCTGACTAAGTCCAATTAGCATAATGCCATCAATATAATGGACCAGTGTGATGTCTTGTGGAAGGGAAAGGTGATCAA